GTTTATATGATTTACGGGACCAAAAAATAGCTTTCCGTTTCACGTTAAACAGGTTCCGTTTTATCAAGGATTTAATCCTATGTTAAACTATAGAAATCTGCCGGTACCATAAAAAATTTCCACACACCACCAGCACCACGAACTCTACCACCACGATACTTAATTTTTACATAGGAAACGGAATTTAAAAGACGCCCGAATGTCTCCGCTAGATAATAGGTCAAATTTATCTGATAATATATTTTAGCCATGTAACTTGATAGCCCTTTGATTAACCTTAACGTTTGATGCGTATAATCGACACATTCTGCAGGTATAGTAAATTTCACCATTATGTTCAAGATTTACACTTTCAGACTTAAGTTTTTATGACTTGTATAATACTAAATTTGCTGTGTTATGTAAATGCTAACACACGTTTTAGTATAATTATTAGATAAATTATAGTATAATATATTTGCTTAGTACATTTTAATTTTAAAATTTATCCGTTTTTTTACAAATAATAACCAAAAATGTTACATTATATATGTTACTCAGAGCTCTAATATAACTTAGTTGATGGTTTTTTTTAATAATTTCTATTCTAACTTAATTGTGTACTTGAATAACTAACATAATTTTCTATTCAAGTAGACGTAGTCGACCGTGTCGTTTGTTTATTTATTTTTTTATTTTTGTACAGCCGGATTATTTAAATATTTGTATTGATTCATTACTATTGTTACTATTTCTAACATATAACTAAGGTGTGTTTTCGCATTCTAGTCTTGATTATGACAAAATAGTAATTATATCAAAACCTGGTGCGGATTTAAGGCCCTACAACCTATGCGACTACATATGACGACACATGGATGCATTGATAACTTGGATGCAGCTAATTTGTATTTAATATTAATTTTATTCTTAAGGTTAGACTACCACAAACTATTGATTTTTGGTCGTTGTACAGGTTTCGAAATACACCAAACACTGTATACTGACATTTAAAACCGATGTGTGGTGTACTATAAAATTGAAGGAATCAGAATCAAAAATGTAATTCATTTTTTAAACCAAAAATATAAAAGCTGCTATCACAAGATTCTATTACTAACTATAAATAATTAACATTAAAATAACTTTTATGATTAATTAATTATTAATAATATTATTATTATGGTTTATATATATATATATATATATAGTTTATAAAAAAAAAATAAAAATATTACATTTGAATCAAAACGTTTTTATAAAACTTTACCTAAATGAAAAAATAATTGCTTAATATTGAAAACAGAGGTGGACTGTGTCAGTAAATGCCTACTATACTAGAATTGTAGAAGGCTCCTTTTTCGATACATTTAAGGAAGAAACAATTACATTTTTTTTACATTATTTTTTTATACATTATTAAATTTGAGAAATTTATACTAGTATGTACTTATATACACTTATTTATTTGTACACATGATAAATCTGATATAAATATAAGTATAACATATTTTTCAAAATTTAAATTTAAATCAGCATTAACTTATAATGTTTATTATAATTGATACGTTATAATAAATTTGTAATTTTGAAGGGCTCCGTAGTACAAAGGCCTTTTGTCTTAAAGAGCATGTATATATATATATATATATATATATATATATAATTATTAAAAACATTTTTGTGTTATAAATTATTATTAGGTATAGTAACAGTACAGGTACCAGTTATCCAGTTATAACTTGTAGTAATGAAGACATTATATTAAAAAAATATAAAAAGAGAGTCACTAGCAACTTTTAAAAGATGAGTGGGTACCAACAGTTCATGTTTGCCCCTTGCAAATAATCCTGTCATCACATCGTTGGGAGCAGCGGATTTTTAAATCCATCCCTGATTTTTCTGTATTACGGAATGATTCTTTAAACCCTTCCATGCTCTTTGAAAACTTTTTTAAAAACAATGTCATTGATTCTAAACATTTATATTTTATATTAAATTTACGAAAACAACTATCAACTACTAGTTGAACCACTTGTTAATTATTTGTATAGTAATTATTTTTTTTAGTAAATACATTTATAACTTTTTTATATATTAACATACAATAACACAACTGGTTAGAACATCAAATCAAGAGTGATAAACTTTTAATTAATCGACCAAAATGTTTATATACAATTTCGGGAAATTGGTGTATGTTTTGTCATTATTTTTTTTTTTTTTTTTTTAGGTGTGACGTGTCATCGTTAGAAAAAGTGAGAGAGCTCGGAGAAAAGGTTAAGAGTGAAGTGGGCACTGTTACCATTCTGGTCAATAATGCTGGCATAATGCCTTGTAAACCACTCGAATCTCACGATGAAGCCACTATAAAGAAAATATTTGACATCAACGTATTCGCTCATTTCTGGGTAAGTATATACCGGGCGGTCTAGGACATTTTGGCGGAACCCATTTCGGTGTACATTCAATTCTTTTAGACATATTTTTTAATTTGATTTTTAAATCGAAACTAACAAATATGCCGAGGCAGTCAACAGATGACTTAATTTACAAATTGATGTGCAGCATCCAACCTTATAGACAGGGGCGTATACAAGGGGGGATGTGGGGGGTCAGATCCCCCCTCATAGACCTTTTTAAAATTGTATAAAATAGTGTTCTTAATGTAAGGAAATTATAAGGAAACAAAAAAATATTGCATGGATTTATTGTAATCAGTGCCGGATTAACAAATTTGCCACATGGAGTCAGATTTTAAAATTCCGCCCTTCAACCCCCTCCACAAACCAAAATATATATATATGTATAGTACATGTATATATTTATATATGTATATATATATATGTATACAACAAGTAACAACATAGTTAAGATTGTTTAATTCATTTATATTTATATATTGTAACAACGGTAGTTTTTAAATTTATAGACCTAAATATAAACATTTTAATACAAATTTATTTAATATAAAACATTTACAACTATTTTTTAGCTTTCTGTGCAGTAAACTCTTTAATAATATCATTCCAACCTATACTTTTTAGAAAAATATTTACAATAGATATTAGAGATAACTATGACATATTTTCATTAGATAATTATGTTTTCTGGTAGTTCTTGACTCTTTTTAAAACTAAGAAGGATCTTTCTCCGCAAGCATTTGAACATGGCATAAATATAAAAAGTCTTAAAGCTATTTCCACAATAGTAAATGAATCGTTTAACTTTGATACTATTAATACTTCAAGAAATCTGTGCATAGATAATTTTTTATCTTCTGAAAAATACTTCATTATTGTTTTAAATTGTATAATCTCATTCTCAAGGTCTGGTCATAAACACTATAAATATATATTAATTGCTTTTAATTTTCTCGTAAAATATCATCGTCAATTCCTTCCACATTTAAAAAAAACCTTAACAACTCATTTATTTCAATATATGCATTTGTATGCGCTTTCTACTCATATTGATTGAAAATAAAATATTAGACACGTTTGTTTTCCAGTTAATCGTGATTCGTGAATCGAACTGACAACAACGACAACTATGACCACGAGACGAGATGTATATATATATATAACAAAAACCATTGCTTGGTAGTGTGTAAATAAATTATTTGAAAATATTAATATCAAATTTAATAATTTGATGGTTATAAATTATAATACACACATAGAAATAAATAAGAAATACAATAAACACAATTTTATGTCAGTGTAACAAAAATAAAAATGCATAGGTCCAAGTGCTAAATAATAATAATATGGTTTTACTCTTAATATGCTAAACGCCCACAGACGAAATAATTATAATTATAATATTATTATATAATTGTTATTAATATTTTTCAATAATAAATTAATAATTTTTCCTAAAAACTAGTATTATATAATATACATTAGAAAACTTCAAAACTTTTGTTGACGCCGTCAAAAATTGCCGCTCCTAAAATTTTGACGGCCGGGGCAGCTGCCCATTTGCCCATTTCCGGGGGGGGGGGGGGGTACAATGTTACATTACTACAATATACATATAAGCTAAAATCCTGTCTGGTTAATAATATTACATAATTAATGTTAATATATACACTATATAAATTTCTCAATTAGCATTGTCGTATATATAGTATTGTTATATATCACAAGAAATAAAATAATAAACGTCGTATTTATAAAAAAAAAAACAAACAAAAAACACATAGATTAATATTGAGTCTTCGTTTTGAAGTTTTAGCCATTTCATCAATTATCATCAATGGATCAACATAAGTATCCTGGTGTATATTGAGGGCTGCCAATCCATTTAGTCTCATTTGACCAGTAGTATTTCTTAGATAATTTTTCAGTCGACTCAAGGAAGAAAAAGACCTCTCTTCAGTAGCTATTATGACTAGTAGTGTAATTAATATTTGCAATAACTTTGAGATTATAGGAAAAAAATCAGGATTACAATAGAAAAATAATTCGGTTATTGTTAACGACGAATTTGGTGATTTGAATGCGCAACTGTTATACCACAGTTTAAGTTCACCATAATCTACTTCTAGGCTAGTCAAATTGTTGCTGTTACTTAATGTATCAGTATAAAAACTACATAATTTTGAAGTCCTCAAAAGTTTCTTCAGATATTTGTTTGCTAGTCTTAGGTAATAAGCAATTAAAACTTTTTACTTTGGCTCTATGTTCAAGAAATCGTCCATGGAGTTGTTCAATAAAGTTATCAAGAAATGGAATGAATATTGAGACTCTATTATATTCTGTTGGATTATTATTCATAACATTACTCCTATTTTTTTGTCAACTTGTTGTTCTTGGAACACTAACAGTTATACCAAAACTAGTACAGACATCTTCAACATTTTTAAATATATTATCAACCTCAAAATTGGCATTATCGCGGATTTGTTTTATAGTTGATTGATTCATATCAGCAAATTCTAGGACAGATTCTAAATCTAAGTTTTCAGTTTGAAGAAATTTACTCAAAGGAGCAGTTATTGCAAATA